ACAAAAAATAGGCCCGGGCTCTTTGGATTGAGCAGCCCAAAGCCCTGGGACCCTTTCCTCGGAGCCCAGTGACGGAACGCCAGGGCCCAGTCGCAAGAGAAACCTTTGTGACCCTGGTAGTTCCACCACTAGTGTCAGTAGGTTTTTACTTTTGTTTAATCTTTTATACTTTTTTTATTTTTTTTATTTTTTTGTAGGAAAGAAGAAAGGATGGAGGGAAAGAAAGAAAGGAAGGAAAAAAAAAGGAAGGAAGGAAAGAAAGAGGGAAGGAAGGAGGAAAACAGTAGACAAAGAATGAAAGAGAGAGGGAAAAAAGAGAAAGGGAAAGAGAGAGGGGGAGAGAAATGAGAGAAACAGGAGACAGTGAGAGAGAAAGAAAGAAAGGAGATGAATAGAAAGAAGGAAGGGAAAGGAGGAAGGAGGGAAAACAGAGAGACAGAGAAGAAAAAGAGTTGTATAGAAGAAGGGAAAGAAAGAAAGGAGGGAAAGAAGGAAGGAGGGAAACAGGAGAGAGAGATAAAAGAGAGACATAAAAAAAGGAGGGAAAGAACGATAGAAAGGAGAGAAACAGGAGAGAGAGAAAGAAAAGAGACATAGAAAAGAAGGAAGAGGGAAAGAAAGAAAGAGGGAAGAAGGAAGGAGGGAAACAGGAGACAGAGAGAAAGAAAAAACAGATGTATAGAAGGAGGGAAAGAAGGAAGGAGGGAAACAGGAGACAGAGAGAGAAAGAAAAAGAGACGTATAGAAGGAGGGAAAGAAGGAAGGAGGGAAACAGGAGACAGAGAGAGAAAGAAAAAGAGACGTAAAGAAGGAAGGAGGTAAACAGGAGACAGAGAGAGAAAGAAAAAGAGACGTATAGAAGGGAGAGGAAAGGAGGGAAACAGGAGACAGAGAGAGAAAGAAAAAGAGACGTAAAGAAGGAAGGAAAGGAGAGAAATCAGAGACAGAGAGAGAGAGAAAGAACGAGAGACGTATAGAAAGAAAGGAGGAAAGAAGAAGGAGGGAAAGAAAGAAGGAAGGGCGGAAACAGGAGACAGAGAGAGAAAGAAAGAGAGATGTATAGAAAGGAAGGAGGGAAAGAGGGAAAAAGGAAAGAAAGAAGGAAGGAGGGAAAGAAAGAAAAAGGGAAGAAAGGAGGGAAACAGGAGACAGAAAGAAAGAGAAAGAAAGAGGAGGAAGGAAGGAGAAAACAGGAGAGAGAGGAAGAAAGAAAGACGTATAGAAAGAAAGAAGGAAGGAGGGAAAGATGGAAAGAAGAACGGAAAAGAAGAAAGTAGGGTGACACACCTGGATTCCCTCACTTTGGAGATTTTCTTCCCATTTCCTGTTGTGGCTTTGGGGCAGGAAACCTCCTCAATGGGGCACAGATGGCAACATTTAACAAAAACCGACTGTATTAAGCAGCAGGATGACAACACTAGGACAGGGAAGTTTAGGACTATATAACACCTCCCTCTCTTCCCAATAATGGGGAGGAGGGGCTGTTTTGTAGTTCATGAAGATAGCAGGAGAGGAGTTTTACCTGCTGAAGGAAAGAGTTCTGTCCATCCATTCTCTGCCACACAAAACAACCCTGACTGGCAGGGCAGAAAACCTGATATTAATCTGCTGCAGTCAAGAAACAGCAGTATAAAGAGCTCATCTCTGTCACTTTGTGCTCTCCTTCTCTCAGCAACTCCTTGTTAATGCATGAACACTATAGCACAAAAGAATGGCTTTCCTTGCTGCATTTATATTTCCCAATCTGAGCTCTGCTTTGTAGGAGATTGCAAAATGATGATACTAAGTCAAACTCAGATGCTTACACTGCTTGCATTTAAACAAATACATTTAATTATGTATTACCAAATACAGAGCTGCATTAATTTATGAATTTTATATCTACTGGAGTTCAGCTTTAACAGTCTTTGATGAAGCGTTTCATTAAGCTGATCATGGTATTATTTATATGCAAAATAGCTTTCAATAGAGTATAAACTCACTTAATAGTATAATCCAACATGTCTCCACACTTCTGACAAATTTAATACAGTAAATTGTGGTGTGATATATTGGGTGTGTACATTATTTAATTATCCATCTCTATAGTATGCCCTTAAAAGTTGTCCATCATACCCTATAGGAAATGCCCAGAATTTGCTGGTTGTCTGCATACGGTTGTCTCCTTTTGCAATAGTTATAAGTTGTAGTTGCCTTCCTGCCGCCTAGTTATAGAATGTGAACAACATGAATATATTCATTGTAAAATGATGCTGAGTCTTGTGTGTTTATAGATTTAAAAAAAATCTGCTGTTTGAAGATGTTTAGTTTGTGAAATTATTGCATCAATTGTTTATTCCTTCTATAAAGATTATGTCCTAGAAATATATGAAAGGAAGGGCATAGTGTAACAATGGACATTAGATTAATATTAGACAAAAATCTTGTCACCCTATGAAGCCATTGATATAGAGGTTTTAGTGTGTTGCTTCGGGACAGCAACAAAAAATGAGATTGTGTTGATAATATTGAATTGTTGGGATCAATCGATAAGCAAGTGATGGTGTAAATAGTGAACAGTAACAGGACAGAACTGCAAGCTACTCTATAAAAATGCAGGGAAAGCAGACGGAGATAGCGTTGAAAGCCCAAGGGTACGCATATATATATATATATATATATATATATATATATATATATATACATACCATTTAATTTCCATGTCACCTTCATGATTTGGCTGGCGAGGATATTGAAAAGCATGTGACGTTAGGTTGAAAATGCATATCTTTACCAAACTAAATTATTTTACATGATCCCATTAAAGTTAAATGCTTATAAAGCTTCCCCCAATTTGCAAAAGGAGGTGTCTTGCTTGTCAATGGCATTCGGATACCTTTCTGGATCAGCCACCTTTGTGGACCATAACACCTATATGAGCTTTATTGGACATCCCATTTCAAACCATGGGCATTAATATGGAATTGCATCCTGCCACCTTTACAGCTATAAACATTTCTGCTGATAATTCACTTTTAAGTCGACCTTAGAATATCCAGCTTGTCTCTAAATTTTCTGTAAGACCTATTGATACAGGAAAACTATGTCCTTCCTTAGGAGCCTTTCCTTATATGTGAACATACTCAAAGTGTTCTCTATACCCAAGAATAAAAATCAATTCTTTTGCAGCTTACCAGTCTTTAAGTCTTTATTCACATGGGTAGAAAAAAACAAAAAACAAATATACAGGTTTTTTTTTTCATTACAGATTTGAATACAGCTGCATTGTTTTCAATGTAGCCATTCAGCCCCAGTTCACATATATGCAGCCGTGCGGGGCGCATTTTGCACGGGCACGAGAGCCCATTCATTTGAATGGACTCCCGTGCCTGTGACACACAGGGAAGCAGTCCCTTTACTTTTTCCGAAAAGGCAGCCCGCGCGGGAACCTCTGTTCCCAGTATGGTTGTGTTTTCCAGTGCAGGTGGCGTGCCATTAGAAATAATGACACCCGCCTGCGGGTCCGCATTTCTCTGTGCGGCGGCTGCACGGATTTTCATGCGGATCCGCAGCAGCACCAACTGCACAGATGTGAATCTAGCCTTACACAGGTTCATAAACATGAGCTGCTTTCAGATCCGTAACACAGAATTAAAACATTTGCGTTTAAGGACATGAAGTTTGCGCTCTTACACATATAAACACATGTATATGCATTTGTACACGCGTAAACTAAAGTGTTACTAAACTCAGGATCAATCACTCCTGCTGCTCCCAGCCAAGCCTATGAGACAGGGGAGAGGGGAGAAGAGCTGCTGCAGACATGCACAGTGCTAGATCGAGATCTGACTCATGTGCGTATTGAGGGGGGGGGGGGGGGGGGCTGTGGGATGTGCTACTATTAAAAGGTTTTTAACCTTAATGCAGAGATTGCATTAATGTAAAAAGACATTTTACCTTTACAACCACTTTATCTTTTCTTTAAACTAGCCCTTTATAGTGAACTGCAACTTTTATATTTTTCAATACGTGATTAAATAATGAATTCTTTAATATGTTGGATCATCTTGTCCTTTGACAGCTTTTAGAATTATAAAATCCATTAATGATATGAAACATTTTAGAGAAAGAAATTAAATTTTTTTACTGAAGTATAAGAACTCAGTAATTGGTTGTAAGATAATTGCAATAGTAAAAGTTAACAATGTTGAATGTTGCAACACGGTTAGCTAAGTGGCCTCCCGGAGACGCTTGTAATAAATGTTTGTTGCTGTATCTTATGTTCGTGTTTGATTGGACTGAACACAAATAAAAACTAGGACTTCCTGCCATTAGCTACATTGTGATTAAGAACTCCTGTGGCGAAGAATGAATGTTTCTGAATTTTGTGACATTACATTAAAGAGAACCAGCCATGGCTAGGCTTTTGCTTGGAAAAATGATTTTAAAAATGCATGTCTGCCTTTTGCAGATTTAATTTCTCTCTTAACCTCCCTAGCGGTCTGATTATGTCAGTATTTCTGTGCTCAAAGCGGTACTTTGTTTTCAATGGAAATATGTTGTTTTTTTATTGTAGGCCTGTAATTCTTAGTAATAACTCACTTAAATCTGTCCGAACAAGAGTCTAGTAAACATCCCGGGTATGATAAAATTTGAAACACGAAATCATAAATTATAATATAAATAAATAATCATAAAAAAATAATAATAATAATACTAATAAATTGAATTCAATAATGTAATCAAACCAAAAACACTGAAATTTTAAATAGAGCGCCAGTTCACACATCACTGATCTTAGACGCAAAATCGTTTTCAGTGTCTGATTACGAATTTCCCCACGAATCATTATCACTCAATTCTGCAAGTGGTTCTAATTTACTATCGCTGTTCTCTAGCTGATCTAAAACCGCTTTTTACCTAAAGGGACGCTTTTTGGACACCATGGACATTTCTCAGTTTCCAGGCAGAAAGAACAGTAAAAATGCAGGCAGGGCACAGGACAAAGCACTAGGGACAATATGTATGTGAAATGGTTTGATACAGTAATGTAATACTGTCAGATTTTAGTGTATTGAGTGAATGTCAAATTTTTACATTTTTTAAATTCCCGCCGGTTTCGTCCCCCGTACGTCCCGACGCTCGCAGGGAGCGGAACCTGGAAGACGGATGCCAGCATCAGCCGGAGGAGATGGATGGGGATGCTGCAGGGGGAACATTGCTGGAGCGCAGGACAAGGTAAGTGCTGGAGGGATCCCAGAGCAACCATGCAGTGTAATCCTGAGTGTAACTCGGGGTTACGGCTTCTGGTACTGAAAGTTAACCCCGAGCTACACTCGGGAATACCGCCAGGGGGGTTAATGAGGTTTACTTAACTGTGTATTTCAGATGCCTAAAGCTTACAAATCAGAAGTAACCTAAAAAATGACAGGTGCTTCCCCATCAACAGCTTGACTATACACACTGTGAGGCTGGTATACTTAGCACGATGGGTGTTTAGCCTTGATACATGAGATGCTGGCATTTTGCAGATGGAAGGCACAGGCGTACCATCCAGCCCTGCTGCCGAGGCATGTAAAATTGTGTGAGAGGCTAAAAGCTGCTGCGGCTGGACAGTGCACCAAGCAGTACTAACTTTTAGGGTAGTACAAAACCCAGGGACAAATGCCTAGAATGCAAGCAGCTAACAAATAAGGCTTCATGCACATAGCGCTTTTTTAAGCTAAAAATAAATGGATAAAAAACATTGTAATAGCGTTTTTTAGGAGCGTTGGTGTTTTATTAGCATTTTTACAGTACATCTAGGAAAAAACGCTAGAAAAAAGATGTTAAGAGCATTTTAGTAGTGTTTAGGAGTGTTCAGCTGTTTATTCTGCTGGAAAAATGCTCCCAAAAACTCTATAAAAACATTTCTTTTTCTGTTCCTAAATGCTGAAGCTTGAAAAATGCTACTAACCTAAAAATGTGGGCATGGACACATAGGATAACACTATTTAGCTTCTAGGAGCAGAAAAAATGCTGATAACAGCTTATAGGAGCTTAAAAAATGCTAATGTGCATGGAGCTTTAAAGCGGCGTTTAAACTGATTTAAAAAAAAAATGAAAGTCAGCAACTACAAAAACTGTAGCTGCTGACTTTTCAACTACAGCCACTTACCTGTCCCTCGGTCCAGCGGTGTCCTCAGCACTGCTGGTTTAACCAATCGTCTTCTCTCCCTGGCACCGGCATCTTCAGTGTGGGCACCCGGATGTGACAGCTTGCGTCTTCACAGCCGGGTGCCCACTGCACATGTGCGAGAAGCACTGTGCTTTGTGAATGCTCCCGTAGTAGACCTGTCACATGTTCCAGAAGACTACAGGGAGGGAAGGGGGAGGACAACTTCCGCTTCTGATCACCTTAGGCAATAACAGCAGAAGTGGGAGTGGGTACCCGCTCCCAAAAGGTGCCAATCCTTAATGGGGAGCGGGGGACAATGCGTTAAAGCGCAGCTTCCCCTTTTGGGTGGAGCTCCGCTTTAAAGCCACGCTTGCTGATTGCTACATATAGTTACAAATAGTTAGTCTGGCTGAAAAAAGACAAAAGTCCATCCAGTTCAACCATATTGGTGGCGATTTACCCTGAATGGTCATGAAGCTAGCCACCTCACCTTCAGAAGTAGGGACTGGCTTGAAATTTTACAGGGAGCTTAAAAGTTTATTTGTATTAAAGAGGTATAGACTCCAGAGAGAGAGATATCATATTACCCCGGCACAAATCATTAGTAATACCTCATCTGGAATATGCAGTTCAGTTTTGGGCACCAATTCACAAAAAGAACATTGGGGAACTGGAGAAAGTACAGAGAAGGGCAACCAAACTGGTAAGAGGCATGGAGGAGCTCAGCTATGAGGAAAGATTAGAGGAACTAAATTAATTATCTCTTGAGAAGAGGAGATTAAGGGGGGATATGATCAACATGTATAAATACATCAGGGGTTCATATAGTGAACTCGGTGTAGAGTTATTTACCCTGAGGTCATCACAGAGGACAAGGGAGCACTCTTTACATCTGGAGGAAAAGACATTTAATCTTCAAACATGGAAAGGTTTCTTCACAGTAAGAGCTGTGAAAATGTGGAATAGACTCCCTCAAGAGTTGGTTCTGGCCAGCTCAGTGGATTGCTTTAAAAAGGGCCTGGATTCTTTCCTAGATACACAGAATATAACTGGATACTAACATTTATAGGTAAAGTTGATCCAGGGAATATCCAATTGCCTCTCGGGGGATCAGGAAGGATTTTTTCCCTGCAGGAGCAAATTGGATCGTGCTTTGCTGGGGGTTTTTTTTGCATTCATGGATCAACTGTAGGTATAGGATTATAACTCTTTTTTTTTCTATGGTTGAACTGGATGAACTTTTGTCTTTTTCAGGCAAACTAACTATGTAACTATGTAATCCAAATGACCTTCTTTCATCGGTTGACCCCCAAACATTTGCTCAGCCTCTTTGACCCCCACTTGGATAGTCCCATCAATCACTGAGGGTCAATATTGACCACTTTAAAAAATCCTGATGTAAACCACAACTGAATGATTTTTAGCTTGCGAAAGTACTGTATATCAAACATCAATATACAAAAGGGATTTTTAAGGTGCTCAAGAAATCTTGAACATTTGATGTTGTACTAAAATCATACAAAGCTTTATTACAATATTATCATATAAAAAAGATTTCTTGAGCACCTTAAAAATCCATTTTGTCTTTGTATATTGATGGTTATTCACTCTATGGGATGTGATGCCAACTGACCTCCACCTGCAACAATTTAGAAAAGTGTGTATCAAACATGTTTATTTTTAATAAAAATCAGAACTGCATATCACATTTGCTGATCATCTGCAGCTCTTTGAAGATGCTTTCTGTCTACATGCATGTATCCCAGCAACTGCTGCATGTCATTTCTCAAGGTAAGTGTCCTGATGGTGACAATGGTAAACATGCCTGTGCAATGTGCATTGGAGTGGATGAGCATGTGACAGGATGACAGTGCAGGAAAACAAAGATAGAGAGTTGTCACCCAACTACAGAAGAAAGAACTTCAAAGCAGGATCACTGGGGATTAGTTTAATGAAATATAAACATAAACAAATATTGAAAACTTACTATGAAATTACATGAACGTGTTACAGCTTATTTAAGGGACCAAATAAACTTCCGCTGTTAAACTTAACCTCTACAATTATAATAATTTAAAAATGTGTATTTCAGATTCTTACATGTCATAACTTCTGCCATTCCTGTTTTCCTTCATGCCCTGTGCAGAGGAAACCCTAATCTTCTTCTCATTTTCACAGCTAGCACAGCCCCACTCTCCCCCATCTTCTGAGCACTTTGCTTTTGTACATTCTTTCAGGCATGTCACAGAAGGCATGTGTTGTACAGAAATAATTAGGACTGTTGTCATTGAATGAACCAGGCAAAACAATAGTAGTTTTTAATTACAAACATGCACCTATTCTATAAACATGGTCTCCATTAACCTACAGAAATTTTATGCATAGCTGATTTAGTTTTTTTCAAGATTCTTCTTTGTACTAAGATGCAGACAGAGAGTTTGTTGAATTCTACAACCAGCACACCTGCCGAATATGAGCTTACTTTAGCAGCAGTTTAGCAACATTTGTGTATACAACAGGCTGCCGACTGTTCAAGTAGTTCATTATGGCTTGACAAATCCTGTCCACTTTGAGCAGCTGACATAACCCTGTGGAAGACAAGGAACCTCTCATGCTAGTACAGCATTTCTGTGGAAATCCCCTTTAAAAGAAATATTTCAAAATAATTGTTTGAATTGAATTTGCTTCCTAACATTTGTGAAGCTAAAGCATCCTGAACACAAGGTTTGCTAGGACCGGCTGAAGACATTTCAGGAAATTAAGCTCCCGCACCATTATAGTGCCACACATGAACTAAGCAGATAGACCTGTTTCAGGTCTTTCTGCGCCATTTTTAGGCTACGTTCACACTAGCCTTTGTTTTCAAGCGGCAAAAAGGCGTTTGAGAAGTGTTTTTACTGCTTCCCAAACGCCTCGGACAATTCTGCCCATTGCAGCACATGGTGCTGTTCTAACGAGAGTGGTAGTGTCGCGGTGTGGCAAAACGAACGCCTCTGGTCGAGTCAGGAGGCGTTGAAACCTCCTATTCTAGTCTATGGTGCCGCTCCGCAAACGCCCGGCTGGTGTTTGCGGTGCGGTTGCGTCGCAGTTGCGGGGCGTTTGCAGAGCGGTAACACCATCCAAACTTCATTATAGACATTTGTGGGGCATTTTTAACGCTCGGCAAACGCCTAGCAACCGCCGCTGAACCGCTCATGCGGCGTGTGCGGAGCATTTGCCGAGCGTTAAAAAATGCTCCGCAAACGCCGGACCAACGCTTGCCAAACGCTATAGGGGCATTTGGCAAGAGTTGGTAAAACAGTCAAGTGTGAATGAGCCCTTAGAGTGAAGTCTGTAGCTGTAGCTAATTAACAGTAGGAATGCAGTGATTTTCCATATGGAAAAGTGCCACAGATTCCTGCCAGATGTGACCTGTTGTATGAGATGTGAACTATCAACAGACAGCTCACATCTCTCTCTCTGCTTGTGCAGTGATTACACTACTCAAGCAGAACCTGGAGGGTTAACAGACCTCCTCCTCCTTTACACTCTGAGCTAAACAGGGGACAGGAAGAGAGGTTGGAGCAATCAGCTGAGATCCGATTGCTCCTAATTAACAAAAAGGCTTGCACCCCTTTTGTTAATTAGGGACAGAATCTGCTCCATTTTATATATTTAGAAAAATAGTGCAAGCATTATGCTTGCACCACTCATTGTTTATTTCCTCCATTTTGTCTACCTCTAGTCTGTTTCTATCAAGTGCACTCTACTTGACCAGTGAATTGTTTTTTATTTTCCATGAAAATCTGTGTTTTGATGTACTGCAAATCACTTCTATGTAGCCTATTTCCCAATCAGGATCAATGTATAGAATTACCAGTGCCATCTGATCAGTTACCACCGTTTAAATGTGAGCTCCATTTCCTGACCAAGAATTTAAAAAATATGAACTTCCTTGATGGCTTGTTAGAATTTTTCTATTCAGCCAGATATGAAAATATAGTAAACTCATTGTTTCATTATTCAGTCTGTATGGTAACCTTTCACAACATCAAGGTAAAAGCTAGAAAAGATAACACCACAAACTAATGATTAATACTCTGGGAGAGATTTATTAAACTGGAGCACTCATAATCTGGTGCAGCTGGGTATGGTAGACAATCAGCTACTAACTACAACTTGTTCAATTAAGCTGTGACAATAAAACCTGGAAGCTGATTGG